TTACCCTTTAACGGCCTGTTTCTGGGGTAAACATTGGCCCAACAAGTCGATGTAGAGAACGTTTTTCTTAACAAGGATTCTAAGAACGAAGACAAAAGGGGTAAATAATCTTGCAAATGTGGTCATTGTCATTATCATCATCACATCATCATTATCGTCATCTTTATCACCATCAAGTGCATCAATGACTGCCATTGGCCATCAGGCCTCTCCACAAATTGCGATCTCCAACATCATGTATCATTTCATTACCCGACACGTTTTCAATGCACGACAAAAATCTGACAAGAATAACCGCCGTGGTCTTTCTCCAACTTTACTTCCACAAATGTGTCCACTCGTCAGAATATGTTCCAATTTTCATCTCCCTCATAACGTATGTATGCTATTATAAATATTTGATGCAGATATCTGTAATAGTTTGTGTTTGGGTTCTCGCCTCTTTCAAAGCGTCTGGATTACTTTCAGTTGTCGCAGAGAAAGCAATGAAGAGACGAAACACATGGAAATGCTTTGGTGGGATATAAGGTTTACATAAAAGCATCGACGAGCTACAGTCTGCCAATAGTCAGTGCAATAGAGAGAGAGAGAGAGAGAGAGAGAGAGAGAGAGAGAGAGAGAGAGAGAGAGAGAGAGAGAGAGAGAGAGAGATTATCGGAGAGAGGTCTTAACAAAGAAAACATTATAACGGATGCAAATCTGGAGTGAGCAAAAATAAGAAGCATGAGTGCCAAACGAAATTGCTTTGTGCTCTGAGGACATTCTGTGAGATGTGCAAGATTGAATGCTCGCCACTTAAATGTCAAGCAAACAACTACAACATCAACAACTGCTGCTTCTGACAACAATAATTTGATTTGATTTGATTCAAGAACCGACATCACAGCACTCATGGCAATCCCATAAGCGCTCCGTCTCCATCTTCAGCAGCCAGCGAAGAGTTCCGATACTAAAGGTGCCAGTAGCAATCTGATTAAACGTCCGTCTTGCCTTTCCGCTTAGCTTCGAGCATCTGCCAGAACCTCTCGTCACTCCCAACTGCATCTTTCTCACCACACTATGGTAATCAATCTGCTCCTCCGAACTGTACAAGCTCTCCCACAAGGCACTAACCCCGTCTGCCTTATCGTGAATCAGTATTCCACCAAGCTGTACAGAGCCAGTCTGTCCGCCTGTTCATTTCCCAACACACCGGCATCCCTGGTGAAAAAATCCAGACAATATTCCTCACCTATTCCCGCAGCGAGGCATGCCACTGCACGAAGCATGCCTGTCCTGATCTTCCTCAGCATGCTTTCTGAGTAAGTTACAATCACGATGTGTGTGTGTGTGTGTGTGTGTGTGTGAGTGTGTGTGTCGTGTTCTCTAGCCAGCGCAAAGCTGCAGTGACCGCCTCCACCTCCATTCTTAAGCTGGACAACAATGATAGTAAAAACAACTACTACTACTATTAACTGCAACTAACTATTTCTAGCCACTACTATTACTATTACTACTACTAACTACTAATTACTATAACTACAACTACAACTACTACTACTGCTGCTGCTACTGCTGCTGCTGCAATGACTACTACTACTACTACTACTATTACTACTACTACTACTACTACTACTACTACTACTACTACTACTACTACTACTACTACTACTACTACTACTACTACAACTACAACTACTACTACTACTACTACTACTACTACTACAACTACTACTATTATTGCTGCTACTACAACTACAATTACTACTATTACTACTACTACTACTACAATTACTTCTACTACTGTTATAATTAAACTCTTACCTAAACTCTTCGAGATCCACAGAGCCATTCTTGTTCACATCGACCACAGCCATCACAATATCAATTAGGTCTTTGATTGCTTCTTCGGTTTCCATCTCATCTGAATGGAGGACGCACGGCTAGGAGAATTATTAACAGCATGGTTTTTATTTTACACACAAAGCATAGGTCGTAGGCAGATAAGGGTAGTTCCATAGCTGCTGTAGCTATGCCCCAGCGGCATGACCACACTGTCCTACAAGACCTTCCTCAGCTTTTATCCACTCCTGGAATGTGTCGTAGGGTCAGGACAGGAAAATATCTTTAGAACGCACCCCTTTGTTCGCTTCGTATTTAGTACTTTCCAGTGTTTCCGATATTTCCTCGGTCCACGTTCAGCGTGGTCGACCTCTGTCTCTGTTACCGTTGTATCTGTATGACATTGCTCTCCGTGGTGCACTGGCTGCAGCCGATCTTGTTGCATGGCCAAACCATTTAATCTTTTGTCTACCGATCAGTTTAAGTATTGGTTCTGTGCGAACTCTACTCCTAGCACGATACGAAAAACATTTCATTTCTGCTGTGACGATATTTCATTTGTCTTTTGAAGACAGTGTCCATGTTTGTCACCGATAGCGCAGCAATAGTAATAATATTTTGAGATACGGCTTGAACGTCAAATTTCTGATAGCATACCGTTTCCATGACCTCTGCGATTGCACCCTAATCTGCAGTGACAATTTGAGTTATCAGAAGACAGTGTCCACGATGGCACAGAGATAGAAAGAACACACGGAGATACGATTTAAAGGTCTATTTTCTGATTGCATACTGTTTCTACGACCTCTAGAACAACACCATAAAAGTGGAAGCTACAGGCTGCGAATAGAGTGCCATAGTTTTGTATAGACAGAGAACCGCTCTTTTTATCCGACAGCATCTGTAGCAAGAAAAATGTACGAGAGTGCTTTAATTGAAAACCATAAAAGTAGTGAAGGAAGTTACAGTCACCATGTTTTGTAACCTGACAATACTGTTCGTAATGATATCAAGAATGTTAAGCCCGTATGCCCCAGAGAGCAGCAGCGTGACTTTCTCTCTCTCTCTCTCTCTCTCTCTCTCTCTCTCTCTCTCTCTCTCTCTCTCTCTCTCTCTCTCTCTCTCTTTCTCCCGAACAGCTAAAGCTTGTAGTATATTCATCCAATTCGTTCTATCATGTGCAATCCTTACGAAATCATGGTTGTAATCTAGCCCAGCACCTTTGGTATCTCTAATCAATGTTTGTTTTAGGGTTTCTCTAGAATGTTCTCTTTCTCTTATCTGTTTTCATTTCAGGGCTAGGTTGGTGATTCTCCGCCCGCTCCTTCTCAGGATTTCGCCTGTATAGCTCCATCGCTTTTGTCTGATCAATTTTGATACTAATGTAATGCCATTAGGTTGGTATTTAATTTTAAACAGCGCCTAGTATTTAGGAAAAATCCAAGATGAAGTCGGTAGTTTGACATACTCTTTTATGTCGCCCCACCCCCCTTTTCCCTCTGACGTTGTCTAGGAGGTAATGGGCCAAAACAATTGTTGACGAGGGATCTTCCACCGATGAACGGTGGACTCTGCTGCATATGCTTCCCTGTGGGGTTCTTCTTATTCTTATCAAATTGAAAGTACATAATAATAATAAAAAAAAGGCACTGATTGGCACGCAAAGAAATATTTCAAAAAGAACTATGTCAGTATTTCATAGCCGCTGCTCCAATCTCTATGACATACCTGGCTAACGATGATATCTGTTCATGGGTGCCGAGTTGGTCATGCGTCGAAGTAAACTTGTTCTTACAGGGAGGTGCTGTCGTCATTTGGAAGTGCCAGATTCGAATCCCGGTATGATAAACTTTCGATTTTTGACTGGTATGTGTCTATCTCAGTAGTTTTCTGTCTTTGTGAGCCAGCCAATACAGGTTTATGTTTTCATTATATACTGTTTCTAAAGATTCTCAGAATATCTTGGACAAAGAAGAGGAGAAATACTGACATCTTGAAAGATCACCGCCGGAATTCACAGCCGGTGAACAAGAAGAAGAAGAAGAAGAAGAAGAAGAAGAAAGATCTGAACATCAAGGAAGATTGGCTAATAAACACGTATCCCGTCTCTGAAGCTGAAATATTTTGGTCATATCAAGCGCCACGAAGGATTGGAAAAAAAATTACAGAAGGCATGGTACCAGGAAGGCGGGCAGGGGCCAACCAACACGAAGATGGGCACAGGATGGAGGTGACTCTTTGAGTATGAAAGTACATGATGTTAGAGAACTGGCGACCGTGATGAGAGCGACGTTCTGCAAAGGACTTGCTATATGATGATGATACTGTTTCTACGGCCTTGGGGATTCCCCTTTTGTTTATTTCAAAGTCTTACAAATCGAGAACACTGTTCAGAAAATAACAAAAAATAACCAAAAAACGTATTCGTGTCTGACTACCAGTCAGAAGTTATTCATCCTCACTACATTTAGCACTTCCTGATCACGTAGTTCAATCGCTCAACCTCCATGTCATAAGGTGACTAGCATGTGACATTATGAAATACATTGGCACATTCAGTGTATTTTAGCGGCTGGCTGAGTGGTTAACTGCGGCGTTTTCTGCTGCGGAAAACCCAGGTTCGAATCCGCAGGAAGTTTATGGCGTTTATTCCCTCTGAGACCCAAAATAAATTCTAAACTGCACAGTACGTGGATGACCTATTCGCCATGCGGACTTAAATCCGAAAGAAAGCTAAATAATAGGCGACGGATTAACGCCATTGAAGATATCGTACATCCATATGTAATGACTACAGCCAGTAATCTGGCAGTGTGATCGGTAGATTAAAAATCCACAATCAACTACTAAAACTATGCACGTATCCAGATGCGCAGACACAATGAAATGACTTGCTGGAAAAGGAGGGGAGGGGCGTCAACCATAACCTTCTCCCCCCCCCCCCTTAAATTTTTTTTTTATGAGGAGATGTGTGTCTCTGTGTGTGTGTGGGGGTGTGGGGGGGGGGGGGTCAGAATCATAAATATTGCTCAAGTGCACAATAATAATAATTTACTGAACTGCAGATGGCGTCTGTGGGTTAGACGCGTCTAACATTTCCGGGTTACCCAGTTTGATTCCAGCTGCGGACTATTTAGCAACAGACCGTCTTGCGTAGGAATATTTCAGCTTATTACAGTTCCACAAACCCCAACCGGCATAAGTGTCGGATCTTGCAGAAATAAGATCGATATATTTTCTTTGCCGCAATGAGTTACCTTTAAAAGTATGTAGAGTTCCATTCTGCTTAGACTCCCATCATCATTGGCATCGTAGACGGAAAAGACCCAGTTGATTTTGAGATCAATGTCGTCTGACAAGAAGATACAGATGCACCAACAGTAGTCCTCCAGCGGGATGGACCTGCGCTTTGCTGTGCAGGCGGACACGACACACAGAGGTTGGTCAGTTAGTTGACGTCATAATCTTATTATCTTAGAAAGATCATCAGCGTTGTAGGTGCAGTCACCACCTCACAGGCTACCACCCTCAGCGTCATCATCATCATGATACTCGTCATTATCATTGTAATATTATCGTCGCCAACATTATCATCGTCGTCAAAAAAAAATCGTCAACGTCACTGTCACCAGCATGATGATGATGGTCATTATCATCATCATCATCATTATCATCATCATCATCAACATCATCATCATCATCATCAACATCATCATCATCATTATCATCATCATCATCATTGTCATCGTTGTCATAATTACCATCCTCGTCGTCCGTTTCCTCCTTATCAATACCACTATTGTCATCATGACAATTAGCGTCTTCATTGTCAAACTGGTCATCGTCCTTGTCGTCATCATCATCATCATCCTCACCACCACCACCATCATCATCCTCATCACCACAATTATTAACATCGGTTTCATTTATCTCATCATATTTCATCTCACCTTTTCTTTCTGGTACCTTGCGGTGTTGATGTGAAGTATAATTTACGGGAAGGAGCCCGTTTGTGTGCTTCCAATGGACTCTGTAATTCCCTCTGTCCATAGCTTGCACAGTTGACCTCTTGTTCGCTTCCCGTCTGGTCTGTACATCATTGCCTGCTGTGGTATATTGTCTACTGACATTCGCGTTACATGGCCAAACCATTTCACCTGTTGTCTTTTAATGAAATCTAGAGCTAATACTATCTCAATTTTCTATCGGATTTCATCGATTCTGATCTATCTCTTTTTGTTAAATTGACAGTCTTTCTCAGGAATCTCATTTCAGTCGTAATTTGTCTTTTCTCTTTTTCTGTCATTGTCCGGGTCTGTCACTGAGAGCACAGGGTTGGCAAGAAGATTGTGTCACAGAGTGCTCTTTTTGTTCCTATTGATACACATTTGTACTTGGTGCCATTTGACCATGAGTTGGTTTGTTTTGTTACATCTGTATCATCTTCTGTTTTGTCAGCTGATGATATTATGCTTCCTAAATATGTGAAGTTCTTGTTTTGTTTCAGAGTGGTTATGTAAGCTGGATATTTCCTAATTTGTGTACTTTGGCTTTGGTCATGACTCCCGTTTTTTTTAGCCTAAATTTACATGTTTTTGTATGGTCTTGCAGTTCAGTTTGGGAATTAGCAATTAGTGCTTGGTCGTCTGCAAACAGTAGTTCCTCGATGAAACTGTTGGGCTTTGAATTTTCTTCTCCTTGACACATTATAGTCCTACTTTTGTTAGTTTCTTCACAGTTATTATCAGTGTAAGTTATGAAGACAAGGGGAGACAGAACACAGTGGTGCCGTAGTCCGTGAATGGTTCTTAGTGACCTCCGTCTGTTTTTCAAGTCAATTCACTGTTATTATACAACTTTCATATATGCTTATTAAACGCGTGTTCTTTGACATCTACTCGCTCGTCTTCATTTGGTCCGTACACAATAAGGGTTTTGACAATTTTATCTTCTTCATTAAGGTGTAGAACCCTAAGTCACTCCAAAATGAATTTCCAACCCTTGTTGCTACTAACTTTGTAATGCCGGCGTGCCGGGCTCGACCCCAGCTGCGGACGATTTGGCAGCAGATGGTGAAGCATTGTTTTTGACTGTGGTACCGAGAGCTGACCATTAGGAAAGTAATGGCAAACTAGTGAACTTTAAAATTTGCCTAACAAAAACCACAAAGGCTAAAAAAATGCTGGGGTTGGGTCTGTAACGTCTTGTAAAGGATACATAAATAACTGTTAACTGATTTTACTAACGCGAATCCTTGCAACAATACAGCAAACACCCCTTTAAGCCCTCTCCGCCGTAGGGACACCAAGGTAGAGCTTCATTTTTCCATGATTCCCTGTCCCTTCTTCTTGGTTTCAGTCAGAGCCAAAATTCTTATATTTTGCTTTTCTTATCTCCCTTATTAACTCGCTTTCATTCCCGTTAATGTCTCGTATGCTCCACGTTCCGTAAATCGTAAAAATGAATCGATACGCTGATTTAACTATAGCTATGTGTGGGTGCCATTTCTCGATTAAAACCTGCACTCGTACCCAAGTGAAAGCCATTCCTCAGTTTCAGCACTTAACCCATAAGTGCTCCGTTCTACTTCTAACTCACGCCTGAGTTCGAAGAATCTCAGTGCAGTGCACGAACTCCGTAGCCCCGGCGAGGATCCTGCATATCTTTGTACAGTTTTTAACTCCAAATTGTGACATGCAGCTCCGTTTGGCTACTCTTTTCATTTTCTAACTGCCAAGGGATTTTTTAAATGTTTGCAACAATACACACGGGCGTCCGATCTTACTAGCCAGAGACCAGAGGAAATTACTAGAGGTCCATGTGAAAAAATTACAGCCTTCACTGGGACTTGAGCCCGGGACCTTCAGCACTTGAGGCGGACGCCGTGCCCCGAGTCCACTCAGCCCCTCCCCCCCCCCCCCCATATAAAAAATAGGACAAAATTGAAAAAGACGAATATTGGCGTGGACTAATACTGGGGTTTCACTGTTTCCCTTATCTCCGCTTCATTAGCTTTCAAAATAAATCCATATTCTTCTTAGGAATCCTCCTGCGCTCTTAGATAACAGTTTCCTAACTATTGTTACTGCAAGTCTAACAGAAAGTGCACATTATTTAATCTTCTCTGGATCGATGGTAAGGATATGTGACAGAGGAATAATTTTGTAGCGCCTGCCCCCCCCCCCCCCGATGTCTTAGACTCTCTTCGCTGCCTGTCAAGAATGTCACAATAAGCACAGTCTTCGTAGCTCCAGAGACGTACAGTGAGCCAAACAACGTGTAATTCTGACTTGTTCTTAAAAGGTTAAATTCCAGTGCTCCTGACTGATCTAAGCAAGTATTGAATTTACCTACATGATTTTCTAACTGTCTGAGTCTGGCCAATGCTATTTTAATCTATTTATTTACGGATATAGGTGTGTCTAGATGATTTAACAGCTGTGTTTGGGAAGAGGAAGAAGACCAAGAATAATGGGAAGCGGATCAGGAGGGAAAAAGAAGAATTAGAAGAAGAAAAGGAGGAAGAAGAAGAAGAAGAAGAAGAAGAAGAAGAAGAAGAAGAAGAAGAAGAAGAAGAAGAAGAAGAAGAAGAAGAAGAAGAAGAAGAAGAAGAAGAAGAAGAAGAAGAAGAAGAAGGAGAAGAAGAAGAAGAAGAAGAAGAAGAAGAAGAAGAAGAAGAAGAAGAAGAAGAAGAAGAAGAAGAAGAAGAAGAAGAAGAAGAAGAAGAAGAAGAAGAAAATGAAGAAGAAGAGGAAGAAGAAGGAGGAGGAGGGGTAAAAGGAGGAGGATGGGAGGTGGAGGATGAGGAAATGAATAAAGGCGAAGGAGGAGGCGTAAGATGAGGAGACTAACAAAAGGGAAGAAAGAGGAGAAAAGAAAAGGAGGTTGAGAAGGATGTGTCGGAGGAGGAGAAGAAATACAGCGTGCATCAGAGAGAAAACCAATTTCTGTACTTACTAGCTGCTTCTTTGCCAAATAATTTTACCCTGCGCTGCAAAACTGAAGACAATCAGCACAAGATGGGTGATGTGGTTAGCATTACGCCGGACCCCTTTACTTTCCTGGGACTGCACCCGGTACCCACTCAAGGCTGGGTCGACCTGGGAGCCAAGGTTATTTTTGAAATAAGTCCGGCTCCGCCGGGGAGCGAACTCACGACCTTCCGATTCGCGGCCAGCGTCTAGCTGCTCGGCCACGGCGACTCCCGAACACCAGGGGCCAAGAAGAAAATACACAATTCCTACATGATCTGAGCATTAAGGAGAACTGGCTCATAAACAGTATCCAGTCCCCAAAGCTGAGTTATTTTGGTTATGTTAAACGTCATGGCGGCGTGGAGAGAACGGAGATGATTGGTACAGATTCCGGAACTCGAAACAGGGATCAAATCCTTATCAGATCGGATGCCCACTCCCATAATAGACCTTGACTTTCAGGCCGATCCAGCCTAAACTGAGTACTAGACAGTGCCCATGGAAGCAAAAGAGGCTATCGGGTTATTTCCCCTATCATACAATGCATGCCGATACAACTCTTGCATTATATGCCTGATCAGCCAGGTATCTTGAAAAGACAAAAACACCTCTGGCCTCTCATTAACAATCGTTTTAGCGGTTCTATTGCACGTCGTCGTTTCGCTGAACTGTTTGTGCCTGTGTGATGATTCTCTGCTCAGTTCTTCTAAGGATATGCCCAATAAACGCAATCTTCTTTGTCTTGAATATATATAAACTCACAATTGATCTTGATAATGAAACCATCCCGAAAAAACAGGTGTAATCATTAAAGAGAAAGACACGTATAAAGATAATGAGAATCGACCCCCAAATCATGAAATGAAAACGGTCTATAAAAAAAAAAAAAAAAAAAAACCGCAGGAAAACCACCAAAGGAGTTTTAATGACGGGAGGAAATGACATATACAAAGGAACGAAAAGAAAGAAAAAGGCACAAATACACAAAAAGACACTTGTCTGTGACTACGGCCTGTATTTAACACCTATGGTGGTGTAGACTGGGAAGTCTTTGATTTAGTGCCGTATGGCTTGTGCTGTCACCACGGACTGCGTAGGTTAGGATTTTAATTTTGCCCCCGACATAAAAAAAAAATCCCCAACCTTACTAAGGATTCCATCTCGTGTCTCCCGCACGAGTGCCCCACGCCTTAACCGTTCGGTCAACAGATCCCCAATATGTCTATCAGCGTGGAAAATTATCCTACTATCCGCCACAGCGAGCAACACTAAAACGTTTCAACGGGTATAGAGCGAGTGGAAGACCTCGAAAAGATGGAGTGATGGCATTAAGAACAGCCTTACAGAAATGAACATCAGCCTTAATAGTGCTCCTGGCAGAGCTCATCAACGAACATTACATCTCCCCCCGACACTTTGATGAGGTACAAGGTGGAAGAGAAGAAGAAGAAGAAGAAGAAGCATGGAAAAGGCTAATCTCACCTTCAAACATTTGGTTGACCATGATCAGGCTAGTGATATGGAACCGACTCATCATCTGAGACATAAACACATTATCCGTGATATCATGGGTCCCCGGCACCACAAGGTTCTTGGCGTACTGCAAGACGTTCTCCACCAGGTTTGGCTCCAGACCTGTGTCCGCGAAATTATATCAGTAAAGGTAGAGAATAGAGAGGTTTTGGAAGATGTTCAGCACAGAGAGGGAAACATAGGATGACTTTTACTCAGCATGTCGACTTTTCTTTGGCTACTGATGAAGGAGCACGTAATGTCCCAAGTGCAGTGATGTCATTTCATTGATTCATTCATTGATTCATTCATTGATTCATTCATTATTTTATTTATTCGTTCGTTCATTCATTCATAGGTAAAGCAGATGATATTTTTTAAAAGGCCAATGGCTCTTGATGTGTATGCTAATAAAGCACCCCTTTCGACGCCTTCAGGCGTATTGGGCGCATTGGGCTCGACCTATATTTTATTGACCAATGGGTATCGTGAACTTGACCTTTTTGATCTGCCATCCATCCGTAATTAAATTAAGTAATCTTGTGGTGTCATACTTCAAGGAAACGGCGCCAAGGGGGAAAAAGGAAGAAAGAACCTCTTCTTCTTCGCGTTCACTGGCTATAAACTTCGGTAGAAGGCTTTGGATGATCGTCAACTTTTTGCCCCAGAACGTGAGTTTTTGTGCATACATATCCATTTTACAGTCTTAGTGTATGTAGACTGATGGTTCCTTGTCTTGCAGACAGGTGCACCCCACCTTCAAAGGAAACAATACTTATTCTACTATTACGGTATGCCTTTAAGGGAGTTAGTGTGGCTATTCGCCCCCCCCCCCCCGCTCCTCCCCACCCCAAATGGGGATCTGGAATGCACACGGGGAAAAGATGGATCGACACAACAGTATTGGGATATTGCCATAAGCACATTTCCTGTTATGTAAAGGCTTGAAGTTCACCACATCACACATCAAGTCCATAATAGTCTAAACAAATAGGAGTCTAGTATCATATAATCATTGTGTCACTGCTAGCGCAGTCATTTACACAGGCGCTTCATTCCCACCTTCAACAGCTAGTGCAGTTTCAATACTCATTTTGGCAGTAGGGGTCTGGTTATAAGCCCTGCGAAACTCAGCTACTTCGACGATACGTGACGCAGAGCCTCGGCTGTTCAACAGCAGATAGAGATTCTGTGGCAGGCCTCGCCATAAAGCTAAGGGGTTTTACGTGTTCTTGTTGTAATTGTATCGTTATCGGTCTCTGTCGTCTTCCGATGAAAGCTGTCTAGCCGCAACGTTCATGTTGTCGATCTCGACAGTTCTATGATACAGGAATTGAGTGGATTCGTGGGAACAAAATGTCATAGACCGTGCTGTGTAGATGTATCAAGAAATTATATAAAACCGAACGAAAAATATACTAGAAAGCTTCACAATAAAACAAATACAAACGAAACGTAAACGTTGTGGCTATTGAGCCTTCATCAGCACATACAAATCAAACAATACTACACAGATCCACAAAATCACTTAGCTGGTATCTTAAAGCAGCCGGGTCGGTTGTTTCTCAGCAGAACGACTACACGTGTAAATGTAAAGATGTGTAATTGTGTAGATGTGGCATATTAGGAAGGGAATAAGAATTAAGCAAGAAATGATTGCAGCACAGAAGAAAGCTGAGCGTCTGAGAGGAAACAAACTAAATACATATGACGACAATACCGTCCTGAAATCCCACACTCTAACTGTGAGAAAGGCAGTCGCCGTGGCGGAGCGGCTAGTCGCTCGCCTGAGGATAGAAAGGTCGTGGGTTCGCTCCCTGGCGGAGCCGGACCTTTTTCAAAAACGAAATTGGCTCCCAGGTCGACCCAGCCTTTGCTTGGGTACCGGCGGGTGCGGTTCCGGGAAGTAAAGGCGACCGGTGTGATGTTGACCACATCACCCACCTTGTGCCGATTGGTCTTTGAAATTCATGTCTAGCCCTATTTGCCCTCTACACCTAAAGGCGTGGAAAAGTATCATTTAATTTACTTTTTAATTGTGAGAAACTTGACGCGGGCGGGTCTTGCTAGTGACACCGCGGGCGGGTCCCATTGCCTGCTCATAGTGACACCGCCATTGGGCTGTGATCCCATTGTATGTGCAAAATGAAACTGATTACCAAGAAACCTATTTAAACTTAACACTAAGGTACACATATCAACAAAGAAAGTAAACAGCAAGGAACGTGTAAAACAGAATCTATGTGTCAAAAAAAAAAAAATAGGCAAGAAAAAAAAAAAAGAAAAATCAGAAGGTAGGTAACAAATATCAAAATAAACTAGGCAATGATATCAACAGAAAGTGGACAAGAAATATTAACTTAAGACGGTAGAAACCTAAGCCTTTAATGGGAAAAAACAGAGAAGCGATGCATACGTTTGCTTCTAATAAGATAGCTGAAGTATAAGAGATTTAGCATAAGTCGCAGAAGTGGAGGAGTAGGAAGAGAAACAAACGAATAATAATAATAATAACAATAAGAAGAAGAAGAAAAAGAAAAATGAGGAGTAGGAGGAAGATGAGGAGGAAGAGGAAGAAGAAGGAGTAAGAAGAAGCAGATGATGAAGAAGAAGAAGAAGAAGAAGAAGAAGAAGAAGAAGAAGAAGAAGAAGAAGAAGAAGAAGAAGAAGAAGAAGGATGAGGAGGCGGAAGAAGAAGTTAGCTAGATTATTTAGTAATCTGGTTAGTCGATAGATCATCTTCATACGACGTTGAACTAATCAGTAAATGAAGTGTGTAGCACTCCTCTGGAAGACACACACATGGAAGAAGAAAAGTAAGAAGAGGATGACAATAATTAATGAACTTACAAATTCACGACTTTGCTTTCATGTTTTTGTAAACTATCAGATGTTACATCTCTACAAGACATGTATACAATTTTTATTATGCAGCTGGGATAGATGTTCATTATCCACCATGTTTGTGCGTTTTGCTGAAGAACGCAAATGGTGTTCATAGACAGTTCATTTATGAGCGACTGTTCTTGTTTAGCAATTTTACGCCTCATTGAGAGACTTACAAAGAAGAGTAAAGTTCGTACTAGACACAACACTGCAGTAATAGATAATCTATTTCAAGCAAACGGAGGAAGCAGAAGAAGAAGAATGTTAGTAGTCAGTAGTCGGTGGTCTAGAGTTCATCTTCACAACAAACGGGACATCCCATAATTTATCCTTTTCTGTGTGAGTGAAAATTCCGAGAGATGAAAAAAAAAATCCTGTTTTTTTTTTAACATGTTTAACCAAAAAAAAAAAAAAAAAAAAAAAAAACAGCGATAAACACCCGGTGACACAAAGTGCCATCATGCAGATGAGGATCACCAGTGAAGAGGTCCTAGAAACCGCGTTCAACCGTTAAGCGATACTGCGACCCCGGCAAAAGCCGGGGTAGGGCTTCAAAAAAACGAAAAATTGGGTGCTTTATTAGTATCCGACCCTAAGATGACGTCATAGGACAGTCCAACATTTTAGAGGAAACCGCTTTCAGCGATTAGACCATATTTAGAGCCAGGCTATATTGCGGCCCCTGGCAAGAGCCAGGGTGGGGCTTCAAAACAGCTAACAATTGCATACCACAAGGGGATGACTAGTGTGGGAATTATATCTCTATTGGGACTGAGTCATCCCTTTGTGGGATGCAATTTTTCGTTATTTGAAGCCCTACTCTGGCTCTTTCCAGGGGCCGCAATATATCCCGACCATAAATAGGGTCTAATGGCTGAACACGGTTTTTGAGACCTCTCCACGGGTGATCCTCATCCCCATGGTGACACTTTGTGTCATAGGGTATTTATTGCTTGTGTGATGTCCTGGTGTGGTAAAAGAAGACTGACTGCATTTCTACCCCACCAGGTCATCACACAAGCGATAAACAACCGATGACACAATGTGCCACCATATGGATGAGGGTAACTGTGGAGAGGTCCCAGAAACCTGGTTCATTCATTAGGCCATATTTATGGCAGGGCTATATTGCGGCCCCTGGCTAGAGCCAGATTAGGGCCTTAAAAAAAAAAAAAAAAAAAAAAAAAAAAAAAAAAAAAAAAAAAAAAGAACGTGAAGTGATATAAAAAGATAAAATGGAGTAGAGATAGACATAGATAACTATAAAGTACAGTAGAACCTCGCTTAACGAGCACCTCTCATAACGAGTAATTCGCATAACGAGCAAAACAAATTGTAAAAAGAATGACTTGCTTAACGAGTGACATTTCGCATAACGACTGACGAGGAGAGGGGAAGTGCCGGATTGTGTGCATGGTAAATTAGTCTTTGTTTAGCACTTGTTCCAGTAGCATCGTAGTGTCGCCTGTGATCAAATATTTTCCCAAGCTTGTATTTTTTGTAATACATGAGCATGAATCCTCCAGGCCTACAAGATGACCTCCCTGAAGAATTTAAGTTCATCGAGATCTAATTTCTGCCTCCCAACACCACTCCGTTACTCCAGGCCATGAACCAGCAAGTTATATCTAACTTTAAGAAGCTCTACACTAAAGCACTCTTCGAGCATTGTTTTCAGGTGACTGAAGGGAAAAACCTCACTCTCAAAGAGTTTTGGAAAAATCACTTACACATTGTTGCCTGCCTCAAGATGATCGACAAGGCGGGGGAAGGGGTTACCAAAAGAACCCAAACTTCTGCTTGGAAGAAGCTTTGGCCGTAGAGCGTTGTCGATTTGTGACTTTGAGGAGTTCGGGACAGTACCTGTGGAACCTTTAGTCAACGAGATTGTGTCTTTGATCACTATCATGGGATTGTAGGTGGATAACAGTGATATCGAAGAGCTTGTGGAAGAGCACAGCCAAGAACTGACCACCCAAGAGCTTATAGAGTTGCATTGTGTTTCACAGCAAGAGGTTTTGGAGGAAAGTTTGTCAGAGGAGGAGGTAACAGAAAAGCAACAATCTTCTGGCAAAATAAGAGAAATGCTAAAAGCATGGGAAACTGTTCCATCTCACATTGAGAAGCATCATCCTAATAAGGAAGTGTCTATGAGCGCTGCAAATGTATTAAATGATAATGCTGTGTCGCATTTTCGCCAAAATTTGAAGCGTCGGCAGAAGCAAAAGTCTCTGGAC